AGCTGATGTAAAATCAATTCCATGCTAAATGGTGCTTTCCCCTTCAGTCCTTTTAAACTTAAAAAAAAAAAAAAAGGTGGGAAAGATACCAACAGTCCATAAATAATCTCTAAATAATATGTTCCAGACTGATGGTAAGTGGCACTCACAAACCCATATTTATATCAAAAACCCTATATGTGTACATTATAGAGACTATCAATTATAACAGCTGAAAGTAAATGTGATGAATGTACATCTACTTTACTATCCATTACATCTCATCTTTGTGAGAAAATGCTATTTTTTTTCCAAGCTATATATCTTATAAAGTTTACACAAAGAAACTGTTTTAGACATATCAAAATCTAAATATCTACATCCAAGACATGCACAATTACAGAAAAGTGTATTATAAAATATACAAAAATGAGTAATAAACCACTAGTTTTTAATAGAACTCCACAGAGAAAAGACCTATCACAGATGCTTTGGCAGGTAAATGAATAGATTCACCCTTGCGAAATTGCACTTCTTTCAATAAACATGACTCCAGGGTGTGATTTTGGACAGTATCTTCATAATATATGACAGCTCAACATTAAGCCTGCTGGAACCCAGAACATGTCAAAAAGGAGCCAGCCAGTTCAGAGGATTTCACTTTTGGCTATCCCTTTGAAAGCCTCTTGAATGGCAATGGGTGGTGGTCCCCTCCCAGCTCCCAGGGCGGTAGCATGAAGAGCCTGTCTCTGCAGCGAGCTCGAGAGGACCGAACAAACCACGCTCCCCTCCCAGCAGAGCGTGTTGATCCCCTGATCTGCAGAAAACGCTCGGCTGTTGCTAGCACAGCAATTATGCTGCAGGAAAATCCACTTCCCAATAACTTAGTCTTTATTTACTTAGGAAAAAAAAAAAATTAAAAAGCTAAAAGGTGAAGGCTAATGAGATACTGGCATGGGGTTTATTTTACGGTAATAAAATACTTTGCATGTTTCTAAGGGCACAACATCTGCACAGGTCCACAGAGAGTCCTTCAGAGCGAGATTTCCCGAGGACCTTGCACTCATATGCATGACTTGGTAGTGGGAGAGCTGCTGCTACATCAGCCTTTCCCATCACACTTAGAAAGCAGGGTACAAGTTAATTGAAAGGACTAGGCGTAGCATGGGCAACTGGGGAAAACGAGCAAGCAGAGAAAACAACTAAGTGTCCTTTCGTGCTACGTTAACTTTACGTGCAAATCTTTTTATGATGGCTTTTGAGCCTAAAGTTGAAACTACTCTATATTCTAGCTATATGGTCCCACTATTTATCTAGTTCACAAAGTTCCTTCTCACATATATGCAATGTTTCTCATTTGGCTGCTTTTTGAATTAATATATTCATATATAAATAAGCTAAATTAGGATATGCCTTACTGTGTAACTGGCAAAATGCATTGGGGAATAAGAAAGAGCGCTTGCCAAGTTGTACCAGGAGCACAGATCAGGCTCCTGGTAACACAGAGACTTTTGCTATTCATTGTGATAAAACCTAGGAAAGGAATAATGCAATACAGAGCTTGAGGCTTCACGTCTTGCCTCTGCCACTGACCTGCGCAGGCAGGGCGAGAGCTGCTCAGTGTCTGCGTTCGCTCCTCTAAATTACAGCACACTCAGTAATGCATCAGCTGGGGGGTTTGAGGCTAAACACTCATAAACCAATTTTGATTCCTTCCATCATGTCTCTCATTAAGTGTAAAGCGCCTCTAGGGAAAGGCAGCTGATTAAACAGATTCCTCAGTGACATAATGAATTTACAAAACCCCTCCGGTTTCGCTGGGGATGTTTTGGGAAAAATATCTTCAGCCACTGAGGGCAAAGTCCAGCGACAGGGAGAATCATGCCATTTCCTCTGTCTTGGGGCCTGGCAAACCTTCCCCACCTGCCCCGGGGGGCTGAGAGCAGATCCCTGCTGAGCACTGGAGGGAGAGGAGAAGGGGCAAGGGATGCAACCATCCATCCATCCAGGGCACCAGCACAGCAGCCCACTGCGCTCACGCCGAAGCGTGCGGATCGCAGCCTCCTTGCTTTCCTTAGCCCAGCCCAGCCAGCTTCCCCACGCAGCTCTTGCACTACAGCCCCAAGGCAAAGCTCTGCCAGGCAAGCTCTGCGCACGGAGGGGCACTGCCTCTCAGCACAGGAAAGAAGTACGAGGCTTTTTCCAGCATTCGGATCCTGTTTTTAATATGACTCAGCTCTGCAGAGTCCGTAAGGATGACACGGGTTACGGTTTATTAGCAGTTAGGTTAATGTTTGGAAATAAAAAGACTGATGGTTTTATCTGTTTAATCATTTGGTGCTGCCAAGAGCGACCATAAACACAGCCCAATGGTGCACGAAGAGAGTACAGCCTGACATTCGTTTCCCACCACTAAAATCCAAACATTAGTATACAAGTTGCGTAGCAGGCTGGCAGGGGCAGGCAGCCAGGATTGCAGCTATTGGAGTGACTCAATGATCATAATTTTACTTCATGGAGATTTTCAACCTCCCTGCAATGGAAGGAAATAGGGATGGATGAGGTGGGCTAATTTCAAAGTTTGGCAGTTCATTTGTGTTTGCCCAGCTTTCCTATGCCCTCAGCTGAACTAGGCTACAGAGCTGAAGACTAAAAGACTCCTCTAGTTTTTCCCCAATATGATTTAATTTGTGTGTGGGCACCCCCACCCCTTTTTTTCTTAAGTCTCCTCTTCTCCAGTACATTCTTTAGAAAAGAGTAGCTGCAATGCAGATTCACCACATGTAACCAGGTGATGCTGCTGACCTTCCATATGCAGCCGGCAGCAGATATAGTAATTTATCACTGAAAAGTGGTCGGATGGCTAGATCACATGGTCACCTGGCACCAAGACAACACTGGATGTGGCAGACACCATCAGTGCAAAGAGCAGAATAAGAGACAAGAAGAGCCAATGGACACAAGCATGTTGTCTTAACAGACAATAGCTACCTCAGCTGGTGTTTATCACCATTAAATAAGTGCAGCTGTTAAACTTATTGATCCTTTGAAAGTTAAGTAGAACAGAGTTGGGCCATTTTTGGCTGGGTTACACAGAACACCTGTCCTTCTGTACACAAAGTCAAGGGGGAGAGAAGCCACTGAAACAATCACGGTGGAATTGCACTCCAGGCAAAGCTTCCTTTGATGTGCAAACACACATCTTACCCACTTTTGGGAAGGCACATGGCTCTATACATAATGGTCCAACTGGCCCAACAATTCCAACAAATAAATATTGTGCCATTGTAAGAGCACTGCAGAGCTTATAACCAGCCACATAAAGCGTGTTTTGTAAAAGGTTCTTAGCAGCCACGCAGGTGGGTTGTCATATAGGGCACTGGCTAACCACATTAAATGAGGCAGGGCTTCCACAGGGCTGGCAGAGCTGAAACACAAGGACTCCAAGACCCCTAAAGCTTCTGCAATTGTCCTGCATCTAATTTCTTTCTTCTATTTTTATTCTCTTCATATCTACACTTTCCAGTCAAAAGGGCAATAGCAGCAGCCCATGTTCTCGACCATCTTCTCATATGTCTGTGATATTTCTAAGAGAGAAAATGCTGTCAGGAGCTGCCCATGGCTTTAACATGTCAGCTCAACATTTTAAATCCTTTTTCCTCTGCTAGAGCTATGCTGTTTGCTAGCATAAAAATAAGCAGAGTCTGAGCTCTGCCCACTCTCCCTGCCTTTCCTCATATACTTACCAGAAAAATAGCTAGAGCACAACTCCCACACATTGCACACAATCCAGACTCAAGCAGCCCTAAAACAGGCTTTTTCCTGTCCCAAGTCTGTGCTAGAACTAGTCAAAATTAACACTTGCAAGATTATAACATCTCCAGAGCGGGGGGGGAGGGGAATCCAAACAAACCTGAACACACCCAAAAAGTGCTGCCACTTCCATGACTAACAGAATCCCACAATGCTAAGCTTTAAAAAAAAAAAAAAAAAAAAA